GGTTTCTTTTCTTTTTAAGATTTTTATTTTATTTATTCATGAGAGAGACACACACACACACACACTGAGGCAGAGACCCAGGCAGAGGGAGAAGCAGGGTCCTCCCGGGGAGCCCCATGTGGGGGCTCCATCCCAGGACTCCAAGATCATGCCCTGAGCCAAAGGCAGATGCTCAACCACCGAGCGGCCCAGGCGTCCCTCTACTGGAGTTTCAAGACAGATTTTTAAGCCAGGGGAAAGGAAACTAAGTCCCTCTGAATATGTGAGTGGGTTTTGAATCTTCTCTCAGAGGGAAGGTATTGAATCGACTCTGTCTTTATAATGTAGGGCTGGGATGTTAGTTTCCCCTGGGAATTCTCCAAATCACTAAACAAATGTGGTACTTTGCTGATTGCATCCATTTTACTTGAGGATTTCAACATCTTGGGAGGCCAAGTTTAAGACTCGTAATTCTATGTAACATGTAATACCACTTATAAACTATGGAATAGAATTAAACATCTCCATGCATTTTTGTCGACTAAACATGAGGTTACAAAGCCAGGCACCTAAGGGCTCTTTAGGTTTTGCCTTATGGACAATGGAGGCCACTTAAAGGTTTTAAGAGGAGTAGAAGAATCAGCTTCCCTTTAGGAGGCTCATTTGGCTGCAGGTTTGAGAGAGGACGAGTAGTGAAGGTGGTGGAGTGGAGGCAAACAAGACTGCACACAAAGGAGACCCCTACCCTGAACTGTCACGCATACCGAAGCACGTACACCAACAATGAGATGGAGTGAAACAGGCAGATTCAAGAGATCTCCGGGCATGACGATTAGTTGGATGTGAAAGCCCAACATAGGAACGGAAGATTTAAATATCAGGTCCAAGTTTTCTGTCTTTGGTCCCTGGTGTACTCCTCAGTGAGACAGGCAACAACGAAAGATGCACAGGACAGAGGAAAAGATGATGACTTTAGCATCGGATGTATTGGCTTTGAGACATCCAAGGGAAAAGGTGCAATGGGATCTACAGTCCTGGTGCTCTGGAAAAAGACCAAAGTCTCAGAGGGAAGGTGGAAATCATCCGTGTTGAGTTGTCATTGAAGCCATAGAAGTAAACGAGGTGACTTCGAATCTGCTGAGTGAGAAGAGAATAGGGACTGAGAAGGAATCTGAAAAATACCAATATATTGGAAGCTAGAAGAGAAAAACCAATGGTTATAAAAGAGAATGAGAGGCACAAGAAAGAGAAAGAAAACCGGGAATAAATGCGGCCACAAGGAAAGAGCACTCCCAGAGAGAGAAAGTGATCAAATGCCTAAATATCTTAGAGAACACAAGTATTAAAAGGCCTGAGACTGTTCATGAGATTAAGCAGCACAAAGGTATTGGGTGATCTTGCCATAAAAAAAATTATTTAAAAAAAATGAAAAAAAAAAAAAAAGACAAAAGACAGAAGCCAGATTGTAGCAGGTAGAGAAATGAGAGAAGAGAAAGTAGAAATAGTGAATGTCACTAAATTCCTGAAGAGGGTTTGCCCAGGAAGGACAGAACACAGGAGAGGGGGCCTGATATCAAAGGCAGGAATGTTTAAATATCGAAGACACAGGAGCTTCTTAAAATGCTAATAAAAAGACTTTGTAGACCAGGAGCTGCTGACAATTTGAGAAAGGTAGAAACATCTAAGACAAACATTTCTGAAAAGGCAGCGGTTACCTAATTGATTTGCCTTGAGCAGGTCGAGAAACTCTTCTACTGTCATGAGAAGGATGAGTCTCCATTATGCCAAGCTTTTTGGTTCTCACCACCCCCCACCCCCACCCCTACCCCCCACCCCGGAGGATGGGAAGGCAATGCGATCTAGGGAGAACAAGAGAGTAGAGAGAGAATAAAGGATTGGGTAAAATTGTGACAAATGAGAAAAGGCTAAGTGGGCAAACAGTTTTAGACAGCGTTGAGTTGTCAAATTTGGAGACCATGCGCTTATAGTAACACCTTTTACGGACAGGTTAAATTTTTACCCAGGAGCTCCTGGAAGCCCAGAATAGCCTAGAGGAGATCATCAGTTGGATGAATCCAAAACTGGGTTTTGCCTGGTGGGACTGACGGGACATCAGAAGGAAAACAAGGGCAAGAAAGTCGGATATCTTAACCAGATGCCATAGGACATCCCGAAATATGGGCTAGAATAGGGCGGGAAGTGTGAAAGGAAAGGGGATGGAATGTGGAAGAGGATGATAGATAGGAGACAATGAGGAACCCAGAAACTGGAGGCATCAAAAAGGTTGAAAAAGAGGTGTGGTAACAGAGGTGGAAGGATTGAAAGTGGTAGATAGACAGTCGGTGACTTGAGTTTAAAATATCAAGAGTAAACGTCTCCAATGTACAGTGTGGGTGGCCACGTCCTCAGAATTGATATTGATGAAGTGAGAGATCAGAGTGTTGAGTGGATCGCCCTCGTGAGCGTTGGAGAAACCGGGGTGAGGGCATAACTAGAGATGAGCAGAAATCTGAGACCCAGGAGCCTGGGTCCAGTGAATGAGAAGGACCGAGGTAAAAGCTGGTTCGTGACAACAAGGAGGAGTTATGTAATCGTGTGCCCATGCTACGACCATTAGTTTGGGGGGGGGTGTATGTGTCCTATATGGGTAATGTAGGCCAATATTGGGGAGAGTCTGTGTCTCACAGTAGTGTCGCTGTTTGTCCTCCAGTGTCGGCTTCACGTATTTGGACTGTATTTTAAAATATACTTTTTAACATGCTTGCGTCATCGACCAGATTTTTTTGTGATCTGTCGGCTACTAGTGACAGTCGGTCACTGCAAGGCAGGAAAAAAAATCTCGGCAAAAATTACTGTCATCTCTGTTATGACAGACATTATGAGCGATCAAAGAATAGTGAAATGCGATTCAGCCCCTTGAAATATTTACATCCCAGTAGGGAAATCTAATGAAGGTAGGATGACATGACACTATCACACGGATGTGGTACGAGGAGGCAGGACTAGAAAAAATCTGGAAAGCTTGGGGCGATGACCATTTAGGGGTAACTAAGCACCACTCAATGAAGGAGAAATGTCTTTAAAAGGAGAGGGCTAGAAATTATCCCTTAATTCCGCTCAGGGCCTGCGTCAGCTGTCCTAGCTAGGGCCTACTCTAAGAGACAGCAATGTGTCCTCTCGGTGGGGCAGGTGATGGGGACGCAATCAGGTTTCCTTCAGGAATTACCTCTAGTCTACAAATATCCCACACAGGGGTCGGGGGGTGTGGGGTGAGTGGGAGTTCCCTTTAATTTGTATGATCTGGGCTGCAGGAGGGACACACTCACGGAACTCCATGAGGGCTCTGGATAGTTCCCTGCCAGAAATGGCATTTTTGGTGCCACGTTGGAAAGGATCCATGACTTGTCTGCTCCTACTGTTCCGTGGGTTCCAAGCTCTGAACCAGTTGTAGGGCTCCTTAAGCCCCAGACTAATGTTATGGGGACAGTGCATTCGTTCCACAAACATGGGGACGTCTATCCCCGGCCGTCTCTGGGGGATCCCCTGGGTGCCTGTCCGTGGGGATGCCCCCCCGGCCGTCTCTGGGGGGATGGATCCCCTGCACCCGGCCGTCTCTGGGGGATCCCCTGGGCACCCAGCCCTCGGGCACCCCCCCAGGTGCCCGTCCGCGGGGATGCCCCCCACCCGGCCGTCTCTGGGGGGCCCCCCGGGTGCCCGGCCCTTGGGCTGCTCCCCCGACCATCTCTGGGGGATCCCCTGGGTGCCCGTCCGCGGGGATGCCCCCCACCCGGCCGTCTCTGGGGGGCCCTCTGGGTGCCCGTCCGCGGGGATGCCCCCCACCCGGCCGTCTCTGGGGGGCCCGCTGGGTGCCCGGCCCTTGGGCTGCCCCCCCCCCGACCATCTGTGGGGGGATCCCCTGGGTGCCCGTTCGCGGGGATGCCCTGCACCGGCCGTCTCTGGGGGGCCCGCTGGGTGCCCGGCCCTTGGGCTGCCCCCCCCGGCCGTCTCTGGGGGATCCCCTGGGTGCCCGTCCGCGGGGATGCCCCCCCCCGGCCGTCTCTGGGGGGCCCTCCGGGTGCCCGGCCCTTGGGCTGCCCCCCCCGACCATCTCTGGGGGGATCCCCCGGGTGCCCGTCCGCGCGGATGCCCGGGGTGGCCGTGGCCCAAGCGCAAGCTCTGCCGCCCGCGCGCGTGGCGGTCACGGGAGCCTCCGCGCGGCCCGGGGGCGACACCGCCGGCTCCCGCGTCCCCCGTGCGGGCCGCCGAAGCCCCTTCCTTTGTACTTTCCCGGGCGGACCCGGTGGCCCCTGCACGTCGTTGTCTCCAGAAGCCGTCGAGTGGCTCCTGCAGAAAGTGGGTCCCGGGCCTGGGTCCCGGCGGATAACGGAGCCCGCGGCCCAGGACCGCCGGGAGCCCGTCTGCGGGACCCAGCCCGGGCAATTCGTCGTCGGGGCCCCCACTTAAAAAAAAATAAAGAAAGAAAATAAAAACAGCCTTCGTGCTTCCGAACGTGGCTGAGCGCCACCAAGGCAGGAAGGTGGGGGGGGGGGGCTCGCTCTGTGTCACCTGCGGCGTCAGGTGGGCCGGCGGACAGGTGAGCGGCCGCGCCTCCCCGACGGGCACGCGAGGCGCATCCCGCAGGCGGCAAGGGGCGGGCGGGGACAGCGACGCCGCGGGCTGCGGGGAGCTCAGCGTCCGCCGCCCGCCCCCCGCCACCGCCCCCCGGCCCCCGGGAGGGAGGACCTCAGGCCCGAGCCCACGCCCGAGCGGCCGCGGCGGCCCGCAGCCCCCAGCCCCGCAGCCCCCAGCCCCGCAGCCCCCAGCCCCGCGGCGCAGAGGGGACGAGCGCGCGGGCGGAGCTCGGCGATGCTTTCAGTTTCAAGTCTTCGCCCCCGGAGCCGGGGGCGGGGCCCGGGCCGCGCGGCGGCCAATGGGGACGCTCGCTGCGCCCACGTGACGCGCGCCCCGCCGCTCACACGGGCTGCGGCCGAGTTCAATTCAGAACTGCGGCGAGTCCGGCTTCCCCGGGAGCCGGGGCCGCCCGGGCGCCGGGGGCCGAGTTCCGAGGGACTTTGCAAAAGAGGCGCTCGCCTCCCTCCCCGCGCGCCTCCTCCGGGAGCACGGGGATGCTTGCACCTGCGCCGCCGGGGACCGCCTGGCCAGAGCCGCTGCTCCGCCCCCGGGGACGGGGGGACCTGCGCCCCGGAGCGCTTGGAAATTGTGAGTATGCCTGGGTCTCGGTGGGGCGAGCTGCCCGAGAGGGGGTGCGCGTCCGAGGGGCGTCAGGCCTCGCCAGGTCTTTGCAGGGCCCCCGCCGGAGGTGCGTCCGGCCAGGTAACGCGGCGGGCAGGCCAGCGCCGCGGGGACAATTGTTGCACGCTCTCTGTGCGGGTGCGGGTGCGGGTGCGGGTGCGGAGCCCGAAGAGCGAGGCGTTCCGGAGAGGAGCTGAGCTGCAGGGGGCTGCACCCCGGAACGTCGCCCCTGTTCGCCGCTTTGTTCATAGGAGAAAGAGGAAGGCGCACGCAGATGCACTTTTAGTTCACTTCTTTTCCTTCTCTATGTCGGGATCAGATCTGATGGGTTCCCCGAGAAAAGAAAGAAAGAAAGAAAATAAATAAATAAATAATAAATAAATAAATAAATGAATAAATAAATAAATAAATAATAAAAGGCAAACTTTGCAGACTCCACTGACAAGGGTGCCCTAGACTTCCCAGACATCTGACAGTTATTATAATTAGCTATGAAAGGCTGCCGAGACACTGGGGGGGGGGTGTGGGGGGCAAACAGCTCTCAAATTCTGAACAATGGCTTCAAGCCAGAGCTTTCTTTTTCTTTATGTTCTTTTTTCTTTCTTTAAAAAAAAAACCAAAAACAAACAAACAAACAAAAAAAACCACCACTTTTCATTTCATGATGATGATAGAGGCTGAGCTGCTCCCTCGGCGTTGTAGCCCACAAAATGCGAAATAGAGTCCCGGCCCAAGTGAAAGGTGACTGTGGAAAGTGGTCAGGGGAAAAGGCAGAAGGAAAAGACAAGCTGTCTGTATCAGGATCCAGCCTTCCAGGGATAAAGATTTTTTTTTTTTTTTTTTTGAAATTCCTAATAGGGTGGAGTGAGGATGTGGGGGTGGGGAGGAAGCATGCGGAAGCTTCTTTATAGAATGCTAGAAGAATAAAAGAATTTGGGATTTCTCCTTAGCAGAGGGCAAAAGATACACTTAGCATCTAACTTACATGCTTGGTAAGGTTTTTTTTTTGATGGAGTTCCCAACAGAAGCGACCTGCAAAGCAGGGTTTGGTTGTTGTGTTGTGTTGTGTATGTCTTTTTTTTCTTTTCCTTTCTGATTTATAAAATAATTGGAAACAAATGGGGGAAGAATGATCCCTGCCTTCTCTTTACATCCAGCTAGAGCAATCTCGCAATGCATGACGCCTGTACTTCTAGAATCATCCAGATTCTTCAAAAGTTATAAGCCGAGTCTCCTAAGAAAATGAAAAAGGCAAATCCAGTCGGTGCGATTGTGGCTTGATGAGGCTTTGGAACGACAAAGCCTCCCGCAAAAAAAGGAGAGTTTGCGCGAGAAAGCATCGCCCTCCTTATTTTTAGGAGAGAGTATCAACTCCCATCAATTATTGAAGGGAATTATTCCAAGGCTCCAGACATAACTAATTATGGCTTAAAGAGATCTGCCGGAGCCCGGCTCGTGTTCTAATTATAAAAGTCCAAGACGGTAGGATTCATTTTTTTTTTTTTTTTATTAAAGAGGACTTGGACACACATTTTCGCATGATCTTTTTAAAATACACTGTTGTTGGTTTTTTTTTTTTCCCCCTTCTTTTTTTCCCTCCCCCCTCTTTGTCTGGCCTCACGTTATCTACACCTCCCCCACCGCCGCCCACTGGGTGCCGAGACACCTGAAGGCTAGACATAATGATCAACAGAGCTCCAGCCTGTCTGGACTCCAGCCAGGTTTTTTTTTTTCCCCCCCTCGACAATCAAGGAGCTTGCACGCAATGCACGCCGAGCCTCTGCCCCTGCTCCGTGCAGATCCGGGATGGAAGTCTTACACATACTGCGGAAAGATTAAAGACAACAATATCCCCTTTCTTTTATCCCAGACAGCCTCGATTTTTAACCCTTTCATTACCCCCCCCCACCCTCCCCCTGAAACCAAGACGTCTCAGCCTTTCAAAGGCAGGCAGGTCCCCGGGGACCCTGCAACTCCTGCATCGCATTATTACCGACCCGCATGCCTCATTTGGTGGAGAAATCTCATCCCGGCACCTCCATCGGGGGGTGGTGGTGGGGATGCTCGGGGAGTCACCGTGGGCTGAGGACACAAAACCCCATGTCCTCGTGCGGGAAGGGCGTTTTTGAATGAGCTGAAGCTGTAGGAAATCTGGAGAAAGTCAAAGGTCTGCGGAAAGATTCTTGCAAGCCTTGCAGGAGGTTAGAGCATTTCTGATGATGCTGTTCTTTAAGCATCTCCCTCCCTCTCTCCCTCCCTCCCTCCCTCCTCTCCCTCCCTCCTCTCCCTCTCTCTCTCTCTCTCTCTTTCTCTATCTCACACACACACACACACACACACACACACACGCACATGCACATGCACGCACTCAAGAGACACATTCAGCCAGGCAATTATATCATTATATCACAGAGAAGCCCTGGTTTGCCGGTGATGTCATCACATATAAAATTTCGCCTTTGTGGGCGACGTTTTCAATCACCTAATCGCCAGCGTCTGTTGGGTGTGTGCCCATAGGAAGTTCACATGTTGGTGGGGTTAACCAACACCCGCAGGGAAGGACTGTTTCATTTGCAGCTATGTGTCTCTTGAAGATGTGTTTATGGGGCAGCCTGGCATGTTTATGCAGGTATCTGTAGCCGGGCACAGTTTTCTGGGTCTGGGGAGCCTTACTCACAGGCTGGCCGAACATTTTCAGAGGTGGCCGCGTTTCAGTGGTGTGGATAGGGTGTGGAAATGGTGAACGGTTTTGCAGTCACTGGGATAAAAATGCTACGGGGCTGAAAGGTGCTCTGACTCGGTGGAGCCTTACTTGCCATTTGCATTTTTGCAGACGTTAAATCGTCGCACTCTAACTTGGTGGGCGAAGCAAGACTGTCTACAGATGATTTAAAAGTGATGCTCCTTTCGTGTGCTCTGGGTTAGAGGATTATCGGGTTAAAATTTTGTGGGCTGGCGCAGTGTTTTCGTTTATCCTCAAGTTTATTTTATGGGGCTTCCACTGAACAGTTATCCGCCAAACAAGTGTATAGGTTTTTAATAATGTCTGTGTATTTGAATGTGCTGTTTTATTTTACTTAACTCGAATGGAGCAAAGTTTACTGATTTTATGGAAACGTATGGCTATCTCTGAGACATAAATATGGAACAACTGTGTATACGTAATGTCCTGAATTACTAAGTTTTGATGTGTGATTTAAGTTAATCCTCACTTCATATAGGACGGCCGGGTATACTTACCAGTTCCTGTAATACCTGAGTATTTGGAACATTATATTATTTTTTTGAATTTTGGAATTTGCTCCTAGTACTTCTTCCTTGCATACTTAGAAAAGGATTAGTTTTGAAAGGATTTGCAAGACATATGTATACGAACAGCACTATTTATACACCAACATACAAATGAATGAGATTAATTTTGCTGATGCATTGTACGATTGTTTTAAAACAAGAGGAAAAGTGTTCTGTTCTTTTTTGCTCTCATGTTACTTTTGTTGAGGAAAGTATATTGCTCAAAGAACAGACACATTTTGTACTTAGGAAAAACAAGCTGCACAAGTTAGGTGACATTCTGTGGGGTAAGACTCCAGTGTGTGAACTAATAAATAACTTTTTTGAGAAATTTTTGGGCCTGACTCCATATAATTTTTACATAAGTAGTCCTTCCAGCATATAGTGGAGTTCTTGCCTGAGGATGAATTATATAATTGTTCTGTCAAATATAAAAAAATGAACAAGCAGTTGGATTTAAATTTCACCTACTTTTCTAAAAACAAAACATGACATTGCCCACTGGGGATACAGGTTTACTAAAAAGGCATCTTTCAAAGAAAAGAAGATAATGGACTTGATTGAAATAGTTGAACTACGTAACGCCAATTCAAGAACAAATGGGTTTTCAGAGCATAAAGGAGAAAGAACAATTTACTATAGTACAGTTTATTCTTCTTACACAATAGTAATGATTTATTTGAAATGGGCAGAACAAACATAGTAAATATACAAAAACAACCAATGACATCTTATGTCAGAGATATGTCAAGATTCTTGTGTTTCATATAGTAGAATATTCTGAATTGAGTTATTTATTTGAAGACTTTAGTGAAAACCCACCCTCTTGTGTAGCCTGTCTGTTGATACTATAATCATGTGTTCTCGCACATGTGTGTGGATGGGATATATGCATATAAAATATATTTGAATATCGTTTTATGACCCAAAATAATTGTTGGTGTGTTATTATAACCAGAGGTTGGTTGGATTGTTTTTTGCTGCTCTTGGGTTAGAATATTAACATATTTTAATACAATGACGTTTGGATGGGGAGGTCAGCTAGCCATGTCTGTGCTAGCAGAGGGACATACTCAGATAATGGCCCAATGAACGTATTGATGATATAATTATTGCAAATGCCTCCTCTCAAAACATAATTCAGTCACATCAAAAGATAGGACTCTAACGTGGCTAACAGTGTAAAATGGTACTAAAAAAAACTGTTTCTTAACATCATGAAGATGATTTCTAAAAGTAGACTCACACTCATAATTTCTCTTTATGAAAGGACAGATTGGGTTTAAAAACAAAACAAAACAAAAAAGCCAAAAAACAAAAACCCAAACCTTAGTTTTTAGGCTTGAGACCTGAAATTATTTTGAGCAGATGCCGGAGCACTGCCCAGGGAATGCACAGGAATCTCAAGTCACAATGAGGAAAGAAGGAAAATTGGTGTGGTTGTGTCGTGCCTCCGACTTTATTCTTTTCAAGCCTACGTGCAGACAGCACTCAAAATTAATTTGAGTGAAAACTATCCAAGTTATTTCCACAATTTTCAAAAGGCCCACGGTCCTGTTGATCTCCCATTAAGGAGTAGTGTTCTAAGAGTGATTGAATGTTCCACGGCCTGAAACTCAAGTCAAGCTCAGTGAGGCGCTGGGGTCAAATGGGCTCATGAATCACAGATAGGAAAT